TTATTTAATTTATTAACGAACGTAACTAACGTTCGTATTTCCTTTTTTTTTAGGCAAGGGAATCCAAAAACGAATTCCGGGCTCCCATATCGAAGGTAAAACCTTCAAAATTTTTTTTTATTTTTTATTTAAATGAACGTTAACTAATGTTCGTATTTTATTTTTTTTAGGTAAAGGAAGCCGAAAATGAGTTTGGTCTTCCATATCGAAGGTAAAACCTTCAAAAAAATTTTTTTTTAATAATTATACTTAACGAAGCATTTTCTAACGTTCATTTTTGTATTTTGTAGGAACACGGCTCTCTGGACACTCCTGAACAGAATTTCTAAGGTAATCTTCGAAATTCTGTTTTTTTTTTGTTTTTATTTAAACGAAACGTTAGCTAACGTTTCGTTTTTCTTTTTTGTTGTAGGTTTCGGTACTCCAAGGTTCCTGAAACGGGTAAATGGTAAGTTTCGCAACTCTTGTTGCGAAACTTTAAAATTTATTTTTTTTTTCAAAGAACGTTTCTAACGTTCTTTCTTCTTTATATAGGAACGCCGGGCTTCTTTAGACGAACCAGACTTGGAGATTTTTTCAGGATTTCGAAGGTATTTACCTTCGAAATTAATTTTTTTTAATGTTTAACAAAACATTTACTAACGTTTCATTTGTCTTTTCTTTTTACTTTTTGCAGGTTTACGGCTTCTAGACGGAATTTCGAAGGTAAAATTCCTTTGAAATTCTTTCATGTTTTTTAATTTGCGAAACGTTTACTAACGTTTCGGTTGTTTTTTTCTGTAGGGTTTTTTTCTCTGGCTCCTGGACGAAAGAATTTGAAGGTATATCTTCAAAATTCTTTATAATTTTTTTTTTTATTCTTCTTTAACGAACGTTCTACTAACGTTCATTTTACTTTATTTTTTAGATCCTGAGATTTCGTGTCAAACATTTCGAAAGTAATAACTTTGATTTTCTATTTTATTTGGTTGTTTGTTGGAATTGAACCAACTGGAACAATGTCCAAACCATTAACAACATGTAAATGTGCAGTAAAGAGATGATAAATAGCAATGATAGTAATAGATTTCAATTGTATTTGTAAACTTGTTAATATATAATAATAATAAAAAAGTAATTTTGATTATGTAAATAAATTAGTAATTAATGCAATAAATTAATTTGTATTATTGTGATGCAGATTTTTACCGAAAAAAATTGCTGAGGTATTTCGAAGGTTTTTTATTTAAAAATCTGCGCAGAACTTTATTATTTTTAAAATCTGCACAGTTTTTTATTGGATTTTTCCTTTAATGTTTTGCGCCAGGGTATAAGATCTGCGCAGATATAATTTCTGAAAATCTGCGCAGATCTGCTCCCCAAAAAATTTCCCGATGAAAGTCAACAAAGTTAACAAAGTTATGGTAATTGGGTATTACTGTTTTCTTTTTTTTTTATGAAACGGAATTTTTAGAAAATTTTTAAAATTTTTCTTTTAAGGTCTCAACGTCGATAAATTAGATATAAATGCTGAATCTGATGAAGAAGAAGAGGGTAAAGATGAGGTAAACGAGCTGGAGCAAGAGAAAATATTATTATCACAGACATCGGGATGATGATTAAACAAATAATCTAAACAATCTTCCAACACCCTACTATTAACACCGCAAAAACCCCCATCATTACTACCGAAAAGGAAAACTTCTTAACAAACACGATCATCAAAAAGAATTTCAAAAAATAAAAAATCTACAAACAAAAACAATGAGGCATTTGATGAATTGCAGGAAGTTATTGACAACATGCGTGATCAATCAAAAAAAACAAATAAAAAATCATCATCCAAACCATCGTCTCAAGAACAAGAACATATTCATGATAATGTTTCTAAGAGAATCTCCAAAGAAAAAGAAAAAGAACAGTAAGGGTGTAGAAAGAATATGTAGGGATATTAATGGATTATATAATAAATATTAAAATATATGTAATATTTTTGACAATTTTTATTTCAAATTTGGTAAATTTAGCGTCATTACTAAAAATTTACCTAAATTCACCACAATTTGCATTACGTTTACATAATATTACTAAAAATTTAACTAAATTTACCACAATTTGCATTACGTTTACATAAAATTACTAAAAATTAAATTTGACTAAATTCACCACAATTTGCATTATGTTTACATAAAATTACTAAAAATTAAATTTAACTAAATTCACCACAATTTGCATTACGTTTACATAAAATTACTAAAAATTTGACTAAATTCACTACAATTTGCATTACGTTTACATAAAATTACTAAAAATTTGCCTAAAATTTACACAATTTACAATACGTTTACATAAAATTACTAAAAATTTGACTAAATTCACTACAATTTGCATTACGTTTACATAACATTACTAAAAATTTAACTAAATTCACTACAATTTGCATTACGTTTGCATAAAATTACTAAATATTTGACTAAATTCACTACAATTTGCATTATGTTTGCATAAAATTACTAAATATTTGACTAAATTCACTACAATTTGCATTACGTTTACATAAAATTACTAAAAATTTACCTAAAATTTACACAATTTACATTATGTTTACATAATATTACTAAAAATTTACTTAAAATTTCCCACAATTTAATGATAATTTACTGAAAAATTTCTTAACATTTGAATTAGGAATTCTGTAGGATTGGCGCCATTTTGATAAAATTTGCTAAATTGTAAGACCTCCATTATCCCAAAATTGTAACACAATTTACTCCAATTTACCGGGATAATTCTCAATTTGCCAGAAAAATTCCAGGCAAATTTTGCGACAATGACATCTGTTCGACCTGTGACGGGTATTGATTAATATTGTAAAACGTGTTAAACAACTAGCTGGTATTGATTAATACGTATACTAGTGTAAATCAACACTTTTCAAACTTGCTGATGTAGCGTATGTAAGGTAGTTTTTTTTCATTCCATCTTATCAAATGAGATTTTATTGCCAGGTTGATGATGATATTAATAGTTGTAATGTAAAAATCTGGAGAAAAGAATTTTATGATATCGGTAGAGACTGTATTATACCAATGCACAATATATTTAGCCGATTTATATTTGCTAAGTTCAAAGTAGGTAAAAGAAATCTGGTTACATATATGGCTGTAATTCCAATAGAAAGACGATTTCACATGTAATTTTTTTACATTGCTTTATTTAAATTGCATTATTTTATGTTTATTACTGTACCCTTTGAGAGTAAAAAAAAAATATTTTATGTTTATTGAATCAATATTATATATTTGACATGTAATATAAAGTAAATTATTACTAAATATATAAATAATTATCAGTTAAAATTTTCAATATTATTAAACGATTAAAAATAAATATCAATTGCAATATTCAACATCAATAATAAACATTAATTGGTAAATTATCTGATTTACAGCTGATTTGCTTTTAATACCGATTGCTTTTTATTTTACATATTGAAGGCTGGATTGACCAATATATTCAAATCGACATGATTGCCAGTTAAACATCATTTTACCTGTGAAGATTAAAATTAAATATTCAAGGTAATATATTACTTTGTGAGCTACTGTATCTAACTGCCCAAAATGAATATCATATAAATCATTATAAGATTTAAATTTTACTTGGAATATATTTTCCTTTTCTTATTTAACATCATTCAAAATATATTGTAATAAGCATAGCATCTTTCAGCATTTTATGATGTCACTAAGTTTACTAAAAGGTTAAAATTTTAATGACACTAACTTACACACTTATTCAACACAAAGTAACTTTTAAAAGACTAAAAGTAGAGGGCCAAATATTTTTCCTTTATTAGTAGCTTCTTTAATCTTCTAATTATTTGTTTTCGCATTTATATTTAACATTTGATAATAAATAAAATTTATTAAATATACCTGATAGTATTTGCAAACAGCTTTTGTTGAAGATTCTAAAAAATGTACTTCTATCGCAAAATTTGCTCCAAAGTTGACTTTAATAAATAAAGGTTTTCCTTTCACATAATTAATTGAACATTTTACAATATAGTTTGCTTTTTCATATTGAATTTTAACAATATAATTGTGAGGAATTGGATGTTTTAAATTTCTGGTGTAATGAAGTTGGTTAATAAGAGGATATGTTTTCTTTTTTATAATTTTGTAATACAAAGTTCTTTTTTATCATAAAGTTTAATAAAATGATTTGTTGGATAAGTGCTATTTTCTTCCATTTTGTTATTTTGAAATTAGCATTAAAAAAAATTTTTGAAATAAAGAAAATAACATGTGATGCAAACTTACACATGATTCTGCAATTGGATAATCAATTTTTTATTTACACTTAGCCCATTAATATTATCAAAGACTGCAGCACGATGTAACATATAATTCACAGAATACATATTCTTTTATGTTCATTTTTTTCTGACACAAATAATATTATAAAGTTTCAGCCAGAATTAAGTTCAGCCGAATTATATTAATTCTGGCTGAAAATAAAATTGAAATTTTTTTTTTAGGATATATGCACATCATACTAAGCATTAACTTCACAACATTTATTTTTATTCATATAACAAAATTCAATAATTATAGGTAATGAAACAAACCCACTGATATGATATAATACAAATATGTCTAAACTTTATAAAGTTTCGACATTTGCTAAACTTTTCGCAATTTCACATTTTTAACTTTTTGGCAAAACAGTTTAAACAGTTTCGATTTCAACAATTGTCTAATTTGCTGAGTTTCACCTGCAACCTTAGACTCAGGGAGCAGAACTGTCTCCAATTTCTAATATCTTTGAACAACCTTCTAAAAAAGATATTCATATTATCCCAGTAATGAAATGTAACGCGATAGGTGCTTATTATAATCGCATATATTATTGTATTTGTGTTAGTTGATTCGGCAATGATTTATTTCATAAATAAAGTATATCGAGAAGCGGATCACGTGAAATGATGCAATGCTTGTGCGACATAAAAAATATTAATGCCCAGTATCACTCCGGAACGTTACACTATTTTTTGTCCGAAAATGCTTTCCCGGTTGATATTGATACTAACAAAGTTAAGACTGTTGGCATCTTAAGGACGCTATCAAGAAGAAAAAGCACCTGAGTTCGATAATTTCGCTACAGATAAACTCAAGTTATGGAAAGTCGACATTTCCTTCGAAGAAAACAAGAAACTTGAGCTCGTCAACACAAAAATTAATGCTAATATCAAGGAGGACCTTGGTAGCGAGGAACTTTCACCTCTTTCGAAGATTAGCAAACATTTTACTTTCCAGCCAGCTGACATATCATCGTACAGCGTCCTGTTGAGACGAAGGAAGTTCACTGCACCGCAACGTATGGTCGTAAGGTAAAAAAAGTTTCAGTGGACAGTAACCTGTGGGCAAATAACCTTATCAGCTTTGAAGTCTCGGCTTCGCACATGTTTCACATTTCCGGATGGGACAGAGGATGAACATATCGTTATAAATCGTGAGTGTGTCATTGGAAAAGAAATTGTTTGTTTGGTTGATGATGAAGATTTGGCGAGTATAATCTGGACTCAAGGATTCAAGATAGATCTTCCAATCGTCGTAGACACGTGTAAGTATTGTTTTGCGAAGCGTCTTTTGGATATTTTTTTTTTTTTGAGAATAAATTACTATACCGTTAACAAAAATTAATTTGGGTATTTTATAGCACAACAACCATTTTTCGTCGTGGACAAATCAAGACGTTATTCTGGTTAACAGCCGATAGTTATATTGATCTCTCCAGGTTCGATGGAGAGTTAGCTGACAGAGCTAATTACGAAAAGATATTGGAGCACGTTTTGGAATGAAGCATAAGACCTGCATTCACGTCACTAGTGCAAACGAAGCAACAAGGCGCGAATTTATTTCTTCCGTTCTTCATGGCGTTGCCTCTTGTTATGATGGTGAAGTGAAAGTATGTCCAGAATACGAGTTATCTGGAAGTCATGGTAAAGGGCCAGTGGATTGGGTTATCAAGATTGGAGACACGATTATAGTTGTTACTGATCCAATTACATGCTTTGTCCCAGCGTAATAAAAAGAAACGCACATATAATGAGGCTTTGCGTGAAGATGTAATGTATGGTATTGTTTCGACAGGAGTCGACTGGGTCATAATTAAGTTAGTTACTACTGGCGAATATAACGATAGTGATAATGGGAATGTTGAGGTATTATTGAGTTCGCGAACACCATTTACTTTCCCATTAATGAGAGTGTGTTCGATAAATGTCTTATGCTTAGAAAACTCAAGAACTTGTTCGGGCAAATCAAGTGGGTGTTTGATCGCCAGATTGAATCGCAGGAATCATTGAAGAGAAAATAAATAAGATAGTCTTATCTTTTTCGAAAAAAAATAATCGTATGTATAGACATTAGCATAGAAAAAAAAATCGTCATGTATCACGGGCTACGTCCCGAACTTTGTATTTATTATTAATAAAATTTTTTTCCTGGCATTTTTTTCCGAGACATTATGTTCCGGAAATTTGGGGACTTAATTACCTACTTTTTTACTTGACTGTTTCTATATACTAGCTTGCTAAAATGTAGACTAGATCATAATAAATGGTATTAAAGATTTTATTAATAAATTATTATAAAGTACAGTAATTACATGAGGAAAAAAGTTAAATACATATGTATAAATAAATCAAGCAATCGTATGAAACTAACAATTTCTTTTTAAATATATTATGCAAATTGAACAAGGTTAACAACATCCCCGGTATTTTGATACCAAACATAAAATATGAAAGTGGATGATATCAGAAACCATGTGCGCCTAATAGCATGACATCCCGGACATAGCCATAAGATTATACAATTTACCATAGCAGTTGCACGGAGAGGTTCAAAATTATGTAATAAGAATGCTATTAATAATGAAAATGGACAGAGAGACATAGCAGTCAGCGACAATACGCTAATAATTAAACGAACGCGATACCACCAAACTTTAAATTCGTTGAATGATCCCTCACGGGCACATCCTATAATAGTCCCAATTGTACAATGCCATACGAGATCAGCCATTCCAGGAAAAAAGAAAGCATACAACGATAAGAGAAGCGTCCAACCAATTCCTCCTTCTATTGAACCAATTGCGATAACAAATACCATGGAAAATATCATAATAACAGTTCCTGAAAGTCCGAGGGGCTCAAACTGCACAAAGCCATTTTCTATCCATGGGTCATCGTTCCATTTACTTACCCAGAACCCATCTTTATAGCTTATCTTGCCATCTTTAATTTGCCAATAGGCACTTAGAGGGCCTAGCAAAGGATTTGTTGTTTGTCCTGATAAGAACCAGCATTTCTTTGGAAGTCCATAATCAATGCGTTCTTTTTCTTCGAATTCATCGTGTACTACATGATTTCTCAGCCATTTTGGTGGCTTCCGTATGTCGTTGCGTCCCGGCCCCCAGTATTTTCTATCTATAATTATGGAAAGAATACCAATATATATACTAATAGTAACGCTGAACAAGCGAAATAAAGGAGCTTGCATGAAAGTTTCCTTCCAACCCTTCGTATGATAAAATACACCTGGAATGAATCTGAAAATTGCGGAGACCCAGTACAGCCAAAGTATCGCAACAGTAAATCCCGATTCAGCCATCGCAAAATATGAGTTTTTGAAGGCAGTTGAATTTAAGACAGCATAGCATACGATGAAGTTAAATAGTTGCCAGAGGTCCATGTTTTTTTCTTTTTTGTTTCCTTTGTGTATTTATTTGTATTATTTCTTGGAATGAAAAAAAATAAGTTATCAGTTCATGGCGCTAAAATAGTTTGGCTTAAATGAGATGGAACTTCCGATTGTGATTGGTCAATCTATATAACGAGATTTTTCTTAACTATAAATGGTAAAAAAAACGATCCTATTTATAGACAGGTGAGATATATATTTAGGCAAAATCAATAACAAAAAGCTTGATATTTTCTAATTATTAAATTATATATTTTGTAGTAACAGTAGTATTGTATAACAGGTTCGGACTTCGGATTAGTGTTCGATCATAGAAATGTTACGAATTATCATACGATAATGCTGATAATAGGTGAATGAGTTACGAATAAGTGAGGATTAATCATAGATATGGCTTCCAATCTTTGATATTCTAAGATCACATCAGTAAAAGCTAATGATGCGTTCAATCTCAATTGCGATTAAGCCTATGGTTTAGTCCAGCTTGAATAGTATAAGCCTGATTGCAAAATAAATGATGCGAAAAGGGTATCTGTCAGCTTCAAGTCATCGGAGGAAAGTGAGATGGATGCTTTCTTGGATGATGTGAGTAAGAAAAGGGTTAATGATGATATTGGGAAGAGAAAATGGGAAGAGAAACTTCAGCGTGAATAATTCATATTTCCAATTCCTCAAGTGATTCTCAAATCGAAGAGGAATGAGTATGGCATGATTATTATGGAGATTATTGATGATTGGTGTTATTATGAAGATAAAGGGTATTATTATCGTGATGGAAGATATGAAAGAAAAGTTTCACCAATGACAAGCCCTATTATCTCTCCGGTCTATTATCTCTCCGGTAACTGCCTAGAAGAATTATCGGACAGATCGAGGTTTTTCGAATCATACATCATGCGCAGTAATATGTCATTGAATCCTTATCCTAGACCCTCCTTAAATATGATTGGTTTAATCAGCCACCGAAATCCATTGGACAAGACTTATTCTTGTGCGTAACATTTTTATCATATAAAATTTTCATAAAATTTTTTTATAATACATTATATCCGGTATCCCATAGGATTATACTTGCCGCCCATTTAAAATCCCCTCCCCAAATCCCAAATTCCAAATACGTGTGTAACATCTCTCCCATTGGCCAATTATCACGTGACATTACGCAAACTTCCAAAAAAGGAAATTTTGCCTCCCGCAAAAATTGGAAGGATTTGGTTTCACAAGTATTCCAAAAAAGGATATTTCTATGCCGATCACATAATTCTGGCCGTAATATTTTAGTTTTCGAAGTCTAATATTAATTCCGGTCAGAATTTAGTTTAAATCCTTATCCTACATACCCCAATTTTTAAGAGATTTAGGGGCGTGCCAGAAATCACGTGATTATGCTCAGTTAGAGACCTGACACCCCCTATTTACCCCAGTATCACTGACACTTTTATAATTAAAATTTCATCTTCACGTAATCGGTGATATTTAAAGGGATGTGAAAAAAATAATTTTGTGAGGCAAAAAAAAACTAAGTCCCTCAGATAAATATAAACAGTGAAAATGCGGTGGGGTGTGATGCTGGTGATGAATATTACAAAATCACGTGGGGTGGAAAAAGTATCGGTGATACTGGTGAAGATCTGACACCTCCTACCTACCATGTGATTGAATTCTGATTGGCTAAAAAAATACATACAATATAATATATAATATACTATTATATTAATATATATATTATAATATAATTAGTTTGCTATCTAATAATCCAATTTGCATAAACTTTTTTTTGTTTTATAGCCCCATTTATGCTTTATAAAATAAAAAAAAATTCATTGAAATTGGACTGCTAGATGGTGAAATAAGCAAAAAGCTTGTTAATAAATAAATTACCATATATTATATATATATTATCGAGGGGTGAGGGGGGCCAACTTATTTGTTGTGTAACTAATGTGTCACCATCATAACTGTCCACCCCTGAATTTTATACTGATTTTTTTTTTGTTATATAATTATAATATCAAAAAAATATTCCAAGCCTACAACTTGTAATATACAACGTTTCTAAAAGCCGATGTTTGAGTAGATTAGCACACTTGAGAACTGTTTAATACCAAAGTTTCATAATCTTTGGTGCATTATTGGCTTTCTGGTTAGTTCAAATATGGTTAATTAAGGGTTTCTGTGTAATTAATTTTTTTTTCTCGGTTAGAAAATTAATAAAACAAACAAATTTTTTTAGTTGGAATAATTTTTTTTATTATATTTATTCGATATATTGTTTGCATTTTCACTATTCTATAGAAATAGTTTTTTTTTAAGTGCTTCATCAGTAAAAGGTGTCCGGTTTTTTAAATTGGAAATAATTATAGGTACCAATTTTTGTTTTTTTTTATATGGCATTGAAATTCCGAATGCCCATATTAACCACAATAATTCTGATACTAAAAACATCTTGGTGAATGAATCTTTTGCTTCTTCAAGCTGCACCCATAGCCTAAGTTGTTCCAAAGCGTGAATAGGATTAGAAGGTAAATTACCCTTCTTCATGAGAGAAGGTTTTTTATTTTCTGTTGTAGAATAACTTGAACGCATTGTTTTCAAGTTTTCTCTTAAACTTGCAGTACCTTTTTCTGGAATATAATTGTTAACTTCTCTCCACGTTTTTTGATGACTTCTCATGTAGATTAAGATACATCGTTCATAAATAAACCCAAGTTCATCATTTTCCAATTCGACATTATTATCCATTGATGATTTCAAAATTGTTACAAACATTTGGTTCAGAGGTGAATTAGAAAGGAGACTATTCGTCACATAGCGTAAAATGTTTGGTCC